CATTGCAAAACGAAAAATCATAGCTCATTGTGATGATGCTTAAGAAATGTTGAAAACTTTTCTGCGAACAGTATAAATTTCTCTAAACATGAAAACAAAAAAGTTTAAGAGATGCATCAGCAACAAGCATATATTAGCACAAAAAAACGACTATATTCATTCATTCATGTAATGTATGCTCAACAAGAACACGTCTTTATTTCATTATGAAATGTTAGTGGTTACCATTACAAAATACTGAATGTGCGCAGTAGATGCTGAATGAAGACAAGAATATGCAACTAAAGGAAGCTTGAAAAAATCGAAATGCAACTTAATCAATGTATAAGCGACGAAGAACCCTTGTATGGCAGCACGTACTACGATCGGTCGTCTCATCCATATTCCATATCCGATTATATCTGCTTATCCATCAGATGTCCACCAATGTCTCTGTTCAATTCAAATCTTATCCTTTGCACTCTGTCGCTCATCCCGCATATTAAATACATCCATATCAACTATGCGTACTTCAACCGAACAAACAAGTAACCAAATAACAACTATCTCTTCCATTTATGTCGTCAATCCATCCATCCATCTACGAATGAATCCAAAAAGATAGCAGCAGCATTCATTTATTGTGTCTACGGATATGTTCGTCTCTTGCATTCATTCAATCCGTTTATCTGTCTAAACTGTCCAAAATCATTCTCTGTTCGTCGTCGCCCCATTGTTGCAATAAATTGCTTTCGGGTATTTATACTGGAAGGCACATCTTATTCATTCCATTAGATTACTCATATTCGAAGACATACTGACTGACTCAACTGCTTGTGATATCACAACGAGCAACCGACTGTGCGACGTCACCAGAGAATTATTATTCACTGACGAAATCAACAACGCTCTTGCTTGCACCCACCACACTCAGCATCGTCGAGTTTCATTCTCATTTCATTTTGTCGTCCCATTCCTCAGTCTTCTGCAATCATTCTGCCCTTTCTCATTAACACAGTAAGGAATTGCTTTCTTGTTTCTAAACTCATTTCATTTCATGCATCTAATCTTCTTCATTCTATGCCACATAGTTGTTGTAAGATAGCGCTGATGTTCAAATCGGGTTCTGCCACTAGTCCGCAATAGTCCTATGCAAAGCGCTATCGTATCCCACATCAGCACTTATTACACATTTATCAGTCATTTCATTTCATATTCCGTATTATTCATCGCAACCGCAGAGCAGCCTTAGTGTGTGAAATCCACACGGATATCTTACAAACTATTCGGGACCAGAACTGAATACCGCTGAACATTTTCATCTCTTTCACTTATTATTTGTTTATATTCTTGGTTCCATTAGGATTCTTCTTCGTTTCATTGTCCCAGAACGTGAAGAAGTCAACTGAAAATCGTTTATTGATAGCTCATTTCATAGCGTAATACAGGGTGAACAAGGAAAAAATAAGCCATAATTTGAGGTGATTATCCAGATCATTTGTAAGATTGTTTCGAGGAGTTGATACATGCATCTGAGACGAGACACTCAATGGAAACGTCGAAAATTATCGTCGAAACCCAGTGTTCTGTAGACATTGAAAAATGGACGTTGTTATAGCGATTGTAGACGTTTAACATTAATCACGAATGTTGATTACATTCGGCATTCAACATGCATCTGCTCGTCGCTTATTCGTTCATTACAGTTGTTCACCCATTTCATTTGTTTTCAAATTTATGTGAATGCATTCACTGAAGAAATCGCTCAGGAAGCGGACAGAGCAGGCGAATCAGAAGCGCCTCAAAAATCACATGTGATTGGATGTTGTTCGGAAGAGATTCATTCGGTTTTAGAGGATATCCGCCTTCAACGATTCCATTTATTCGTTTCGATTCATCATTGAATGGAACTGCTTTCAGAAGGCCCGAAAACGAGGCATGTCAGTGAAACGAAAAACACAACGTGTCCATACGGGCATGAAAATGGTTGGCATCAAGTCCGTCGATGAACTGTTCAAAATTGCTGTTTCACCACTTGCGGACTCAATCGAAATGCGCAACAAACTTGAGGCTGCAATGGTGCGAATCTTGCATGTGTTCAGTACTCATAATGCTACTATTAATAATATCGGTGATAGTATTCATCAGAAGAA